GATGCCTCAAGCTGTAAGCCCATTTTGTTGCTTTGCGTTGAACAGATTCAACCAAAGACATATCAGCTTTTAAATAAGGAGCCCAAATGGACACTCCATATTCAAGATGTGGTCTCTATAAATACTTTATATAGTTTGAAAGCCATTTTTTCATCAATGAAAGTGAATGTCATTTTCAGCATACCAAGAATTTGTAAGGACTTAGAGACAACTGTTTGAATATGAGCGCTCCACTTGAGGTTAGATGTAAAAATGACTCCTAAATCACGTTCTTTAGTAGAGCTTCTTAGACATTGGTTGATTCCTTAGTTATTTTGCAGAAAGTAATTGTAATGGGGGTTGTTTCAACCGTAATGAATGACGCAGCATTTTGAGTTGTTTAACTTAAGTAACCAAGTGTTTGACCACTCGTATACCAAGTGAAGACGATCCTGCAGATCAACAAAATTAGATTGCAATAAGGTTTTAGAAAAAAGTTTAGTATCATCGGCAAATATCTCAGAAGTTTCAGTGAGTTTTGCAAGATCATTTGTGTAGAGAATGAAGAGGAGCGGGCCGAGAACAGAACCTTGAGGAACACCACTGAGAGCATCAACCCATGCAGAGTTGGTATTGTTAATTGTAACACGTTGCTTTCTGCCCACTAAAAAGGATTTAATCCATTGTAGGAGTTTGCCGTTTATTCCGAAAGATCTTAATTTTAACAAAAGTCTGTTGTGAGGTACAGAATCAAACGCTTTGGCAAAATCAAGATAGATTACATCAATAAATTGGTGGGATGCTATGGAGGACGAAATGATATCAAAAGTTTCTATTAGGTTAGTTACGCATGATTTATGATAAAGGAAGCCATGTTGATTTGCAGAGAGAATTTTTTACCGTTAATGTGCTTTAAAATTTTGTTCTTTAAAAGTTTTTCGAAGATTTTACAGGCAACAGATGTTAGTAAAATACGTCTATAGTTTTCAGCAAGTAATTTATCTCCCTTTTTTTTATAGATTGGACTATTTCTTATAGATCGGATATTTGCTAATTTCCGTTGACTGGGTACTACTCCAGATTTAAAGGATTCATGAAAATTTTCGCTAATGGAATTGCAAAGCTTTTGGCACATATCTTGAGTATTAAGGGATGCAGGCCGTCAAATCCGAAGGATTTGACTGCCTGCATCCCTCAATACTCAAGATATTTGATTTAGATCGGCAAGTTCCTAAATAATATCTGGGATAGAGAAATCCAAGTTTTCATTTTTATTTAGCAAAGGAAAATTTTCAGACCTTTCAAGTGTAAACATAGATTCAAATTGAGAGTTCAGAAGATCAACTATATCAGGAAGAGCTTCAATAATTCTGCCAGAAGTATCTTTGAAAGAGCGAATTCGATCTTTAATTTTTTTTTTGTTTGTTGATATATTTGTAAACGAGTTTTGGGTTGTTTTGGGATTATGATATTATTTCTTTTTCATGTGCTTTTTTAGCTTTAAATATTTCAGCTTTTACTGAACAATTTTAAGTCGATTGTATTTTATTTTAAGCTCACTATTCTCCCATTTGGTAGAGCAGTTAATATGCCAAGCGGATTTTTTTGCTCGGATCAGGTTTTTAATATGTGGGGTAACCCAAGGATCATATTTTTTGTTTTGTTTTATAAATCTTGGAAATAAAGTATGTGCAAGCAGTGCGATAGTTAGAAATTAGTATATTGAACATTTGATCTGCAGTTTTATGCAGAAGTAAAAACTCCCAGTCGATTGATGCAATAAAGTTAGATATTGAATCGCAATCACCCTTTTTGTAATTAAACGATTGAGATTCACTTTCGGTGAACAGTTCTGAAACTAAGAATCTCCAAGTGATACTAAAATGACCCTTAGTGTTATTACCTAGTATAGTACTAGGAGACAAGTTTAAAATAGAATTACTGTTGTGGATAAATACAAGTCCAACATATTATTGAAGAAGTCCAACATATTTATGAAGATTTTTACTTTTGTATTTTAAGTTTGCTGGTAAAAGAGTGGAAGAGGGGTAGTAATGATTATGTAGTGGTTTGTATATTATTGAGTTTGACGACTCCGCTGCTTCGTATACCGCATCTAAAGGGCGATGTTTTTAAATTGATATTACTATTCAATTCATTACGCTTCATTCTTAACTGATAGTTTAAATATCTTTCAGCCTCAGTCAAATCTGAGCTTATAAAAACATTTTTTTATCAGAATTTTTCAGTTTTTTCGCTGCTGTTAATAATGGGTTTCTTTCGAAGAAAGAAACCTATATAATAATGGGTTTCTTTCGAAGAAAGAAACCTATATAATAATGGGTTTCTTTCGAAGAAAGAAACCTATATAATAATGGGTTTCTTTCGAAGAAAGAAACCTATATAATAATGGGTTTCTTTCGAAGAAAGAAACCTATTATTAACAGCAGCGAAATATTTTAATTATATATATATATATATATATATATATATATATATATATATATATATATATATATATATATATATATATATATATATATATATATATATATATATATATATTTTAATTTTATATTTTTTTGTGTTTTTCGATTTTAGATTTTTTTCTTTTTTTATTTTAGTGCCATTGTGCGGAGAGAAATCGAAAAATACCTTATTTTTCGATTTCGAAATTGGAAGAGTAAGATGTTTAAAAAAGGTTGCAAGAAATTTTTATTTAAAGGAAGAAATTTTTAATAAAAAAAAAACAGAAACAATTACAGGGCTTTAACACAAAAAACACATTACGTACGCTACAGAAAAACATTTAAAAAAGGAAATTATAAGTGATAAAATAAAGGCTGGCAGTGATTATTTAATCATAATTATTAATATTATGTTGTAAAAATAAAAACTAGAAGAAAAAGGGATGAAGTCACTAAACATATAGATTTTTTTTGTTTATTGAGCTGGCCTATTAGCTTAGATCATATGTTCATTAGCTCATAAAAGTACTAGTCCATTATAAAGACGATATTGACTTTTTAGTTGTTTATATTATCATCAATGAACAGTTCTCTTCAATACCTCTCATTTTATTATTATTTTTGCTTGTGGGTTTGTAAAAACGCAAATAGCGTATACACTTTCAAAAACTTTTTTATACTTAAAAACAATTTTCTCAGTCTTTTAAATCTGATTTTGTAATTTTTTTGTTTAAGTTCTCTTTAATGTTTAAATAAATAATTTTCAAATACAATTTAAAACTTTTTTACTAATACACGGTATTAATAGCACTATTACGGAGTCTTTAAAATGATTTGACTTTAAATAAAAAGAAGATTTTTCGAAAAAGAGTTCATTTGAATTTAGTTTAAAACTTAAGAAAAGCTTTGAGACGTAATTATATTTGAGAAACATAAAGAAGTTTTTATAAAGTAAGTTCGGTATTGTGATTTATACTCCTCCAGCTAATTGCCTAGCGGAGTACCTCATACAATCGCGCGCACGATCGGATGGCATTTAAATTTAGAAAATAAAATGGAGTTTAACGTTTTTTTTAACTTTATATATGGGCCCTAAATGGGCCTTTTGTGGGTTACCCCTTGAATACAAAATTTTGTATTTAAGGGCTAACCCACATGGGCCCATTTTGGGCCCATATATAAATCCCACATGGGCCCACTTGGGCAAACCCATATAGGCCCCAATAGGACATGTTTGCTAGGAATGCGCTTGTCAAAATATTACAAATTTTACTTTGGCGTCACAAGTAAATTGTTATGATATATAATTTTATAAAAAAAAATTTTTGTTCAAATTTCTTTTAAAGAATATTGTTTATTCGACATCAATTATAAACATATTATTTTTTAAGCATATTTTTATTAGGCTTTTTTTAAACCTATACTTTCAATAAAATTTCTATTAATAATTCTTTTATTATTAAAAAATGTATTACTAGTTGGTTTGGTTGTGCAGTTTATGTGGAACTTAAGTTTTGAACGCTCAGAACTAAGAAAGTTTAATTGAACGTAAATATTTTCAAAATAAACTGTTCTGAATGGCAAATCAGTGTTAATAACATCAAATTATAAACATGAATACTCCGATTGGTAAGTAGTATGATCAATCTGCTTATTAAATATTATTATTTTATTATTTATCTGAAAAATCATATTTTTCCAATCATTAATTTATTTATTTATAAATTACATTTAGCAAAACGTTTTTATCTTTTATTTTTACAGTATTTCCTACATTATGAACATCGACTTCTTTACGCACGTCTTCTATCTAACCATGTTTTACTAAAATCATTTTTATTTTATATAATTACCGCATTACTGGTCTACTACTGTTTAAGCAAAAAATGCAAAATGTCATGCCATGCACTTTATATAGACCATGGCTAGCAGATTAACCAACTTTACAACTAAATAATTTTTTAATACTTCAATCATAACACAAAAAGTTCATTTGAAAGTAAAAAACAGTTGCTGTAAAAATGAATGGAAAATTTTATTGTTATTTAAAATAAAATGATGGGGAGTTTTGTATTGAACGAGTGTTTAGAGGCGAGCATAAGTTGAATCCAAAAAAAAATTATTTTGCAGCCTCGCAAATATTTTATGAGTTTACAACAATAAAAACGTAAATTTATAGCTTTCAAATAGCAAATAAAAATAACTTAATATTTTTTATGATAAGGGCAAATAATCAACAAAACATTTGCAATTTTAATTGCAGAACTCAAAAAAGTTCTATATTTAATAATAATTTTATGTTTTAGAACTGTTTCTTTATCTAAACTTATGGTTTTATTACTGCAAAGGCGTTAATCTGCAGCGTTATAAGAGTTAAAAGAGAAGCGTTTGTCACAGCTTGTATGAAAATCAGTTTATGGTATTTTTTCTTCTGTACATTTTCCTAAAATAATAGAAATTCAAGAAACATTGGTTGTCATGAGCAACAATTAAAGATATATGCTCTAAGCTGTCTGGAAAAAAACCCTGGAAAAAATCAAAAAATGAATAAAAAACTTGTAGTCAGTGTTTATACATGTAAAATTTATACAATTCTAAAAAAGGCAGGTCAATGTACATATTAGAAATAAAAATCAATGAAAAAGCAACAACAACAAAAAATCATAAAAAAGTTACTGTTAAACAAATTAAGAAACTCCTAATTTATTTAGATGCTTGTTGTTAGAAAAAAGTATAAATTTTGGTAAAAAAATCCCTTACTTTACTCTTCCCCATGTATATCTACTCCATCCATTGTTAAATCGTCGTTAAATCATCGTTGAATAATTGTCAGATTCAAAGATGTTGCAATAAAATTTTTTATTTTTTTCGTAAATAATAATAAATCATTAAAAATCAATATTTTTAATGTATAATTATTATCCTTATTAAAAATTATATTATATCATAGGAATTTGTTATCATTATTATGCCATTTTTGTAGAAAATGCAGCACAAAATTGTATTGTCATTTTTCATTAGCATCTTGTATTTAACAATCAGGCAACTTCGGCAATATTTTTAATTTTAGCTTCATCTTTTTGTAGGAAAACATCCCAGTATTTTGATCCAGGTCTTAAAACCTGATATTGTTGAGTAAAATTGTTAACAATGATAGGTATCGGCATTGCTATGACAAGAATACCCGTCATTGCGCATACCGCACCAACAAGTTTACCTACTGAAGAAAATATGATAAACATATTAAAGTAATGTAATTACAAGAATAAAAAAATTTCAAACAAACCAAAATGATTCTTTTTTAAAAAAGATAATTTTAAATTTTTTTATTTTTCTTATCTTAAAGAATAAAAGTATTCATGAAATAAGAAAAAAAAATCATGTTTACTTCTTTTTTATGTTTAAACAACTCAAATGTAAAATATCATTCGACAAACGTTTCTATTACAATTTTATAATTGTGTTTATCTAAATTTTAAATTTTACGGACAAACAATGAAACTTTAACTACTTACATTGAGATTTAGGATACTCATCTCCATACCCAACTGTTGTCATAGTTACAATACTCCACCAAAAAGATCTTGGAATGCTGGTAAAAGTTGTGTCTGCTCCGTCTTCAGCATAATAAATTGCACTTGAAAAAAGTAACACTCCCAGAAGAATAAAGAACACAAGAACAACAAGTTCGCGAAAACTTTCTTTCATAGCTACGCCTAATATGATCATTTCATTCGAGTGCCTCGATAATTTAAATATGCGGAATACGCGAACAAGTCGCATTGCTCGTAAAAAATAAATTGAATATGTTCCTTTTGTGTTTAAAATAATTGTGACGTAAAATGGCAAAATAGAGATAATGTCTATGATGTTAAGAAATTTTTTAAGGAATTCCAATTTACTTGGCGATATAAGGAAGCGAATTCCAATTTCTATTGTGAAGTATATAATGCAAAACTTTTCCAAATCATCGAGAATATTTTTAACAAATAGGGTGTCATCAGACATTTTATTAACCTTGTTATCTTTATAGGTAGGTAACGTTTCCATGCAAAATACAACTATTGACAGAATTATTGTTAACAGAGAAAACAAAGAAAATATTCTGGCTGAAAGTGAAGAATCGGGATATTCTAAAATATTCCATATATATGTTTGCCATTTTCTTTGATGATAAACTTTTTTTTCGCAAAAAAAGCCTTTAATTCCAACCTCCAATGCTTCGGCAGTTAGTCCGTAGTATTTAACGTCATTTAAAAAAATTAACTGATTTACTCGAGAAGGTTGCTCTAAAATACCGTATCGATAGAAAGTTAAAATGCTTTCAAACACTTTTGGATGTCGGTTAAGATATATTTCTCCTTTGTTTGTTTTTTGAAGCTGATTTCTATTTTCCTTGTTTCCCAGCAACGAACTAGGAAAGTTATTTAAAGTAAGAGTTGTGGTAATAAAGGATGTACCGCTGACATTAATGTAAACTAGTTCATCTTTAATATTTGTGTCGTCCATCTTTATTTTTACGTCATTATTCAAATCTTTATTTTCTTTGATTAAAAAATTAAATTTTTTAAGTAAACATTTTTTCGTGTTATCCATAAGAGATTACTTAGCTCTGCTTTTTTCATATACCACTATTTTTGTAGAAAACTAAACTTGTTGTAGTAGACATAATAATTTAAGTGTTTTGTTGGTGCCGGTTGTTTCTAATATTTTGGCTGAAATTTTATGAAATCTCTGTCATATTGCCAGTTGTGTCTAGTTTATACTCTTTCGATTATTTTGAAAACACGCCAAAATAATCAAAAATTTACTATTGAACATTATTAGTCTAAAATTTCTTAATAGGCTCGCAATAAAAACTATGTCCTCAACATAGTATCACATCTTTGAGAATTTTTTGGTTTTATAGAAAAAGCTAAACTAGATGAAATATTAATGAGATAACATGATTTTCTTATAGTGCATAAAGATAAAAAGAACATCTGTTTATTTTTTTGATGTGGTAGATTCATTCTTTATTTATATCATTAATATGAACGATGATCTTGATAAGGTTAATGTCAACGCTCAACCATTAAATACATTACAGCGCATGGTTTATTTAAAAATACAGTTGAATAGGTTTTTAAGAAATAAAATCCTATTTTATATGTATACATAAACTTATTTGCTTTTATTGTAATTTTGATTAAGTAGAAGATAAATATATATTTAAAATATAAATATAAGAAGAAGCATTGGGGAATTTTATTTTCTTTATAAGAAATATCGCTAGATATGTTTACCTATAAAACACTTTTCTATCCATCCATTTATTATGTAGAAATAACATTTATCAAATTTATCTAACATGGTAAAAAAAATGCTTTGAACGTATTAGTTGTAGACATTATTAAAGCAAAATGTATGATGGAAAACTGATTCATAATCATCCAATCAAATATTATTTGACTATTTTTCAACTATTCAATAAATATCTATAAACCGGTTGTTTTTTTTTTCTTTTTTATAAGGACGTATAAAAGAATGATATATGAATAAATAAAACTTATAATATTAAAGCTTTTTATATTAATTACTTAATACATTATATACGTGTTTTTAATATGCGTTCGTTTTATAACTTTATGACACTCAGTATTTGAATATTAATAATTTATAGCAATACGAATAAAATTTTAACAAATACGTTTTATTTTATTTTGAGAGTAATTTTTTTTAGTACATTTTGGGCTCAAAATATTTTAAAGTTTTATTTAAATTTTCCATTTGAAAGTTTTGAAACAGATAAATAACCATGATTATTAATTATTTTTTCTTTAGAATTTGAACAAATAAGATTTGGACTAAAAGAATTACACGATTAAGTTATGCAGTTGTATACGCTATAAAAACCGGGGGTTTGTAGGTTTATGCAAAGAAAAAATTATATATATTATTATACTTTGTAAAAACCTATTTATTACTAAAATTATACTAATAAATTTAAAGTTCTTATAAAAATTAAGTTTGGTTATGTGGCCTTGGTAATGTGTCGACTGCATGGCAACTAGGCGGAGGAGGAAAAACCACAATACCAAATAATAATAATAATTAATATATACATATATATATATATATATATATATATATATATATATATATATATATATATATATATATATATATATATATATATCATATATATATATATATATATATATATATATATATATATATATATATATATATATATATATATATATATATATATATATATATATACATATATATATATATATATATATATATATATATATATATATATATATATATATATATATATATATATATATATATATATATTTATCGTTTATAAACTCGCATTTACTTTTCAAAATACAGCTTATTAGCAAAATACGGTATACCGATTTTATAAAGGTACGCGGATCTTTATCTTAAAGATCTTTAAAGATACGCAGATCTATGAAATTATGGAAAGTTTATAACTTTTAAAATACCTAAATATCTTTCAATATTTCATTTCATTTAGCATATTGTAAAACTCTGTGTTTAATGTTTTGATATTTATATTTTAAGGATGATGTGAATGTAAGCAATGTTATGTTAAAGTAATGTAAACTATTGTTTTGAAATTCACGATTGTGAAATTTTTTTTTTTTCGGAGAGTTTAATATGAGACAATTAGCCATAAACATGTTTATTTTATGATTATTTTAAATATTTATTTTATATTTCAAAGTTTAAAATTAACATTTTAATTTTAAAGTATCCCGGTGGGAAATGAGCAAGCAACTACCCAGTCAACGCATGAGATCAATATGATCCCGACGGACATTTCTTTTTAAAAGTTACGATCTAAATGTATTTTAAATGTCTTTTAAACGTCTTTTAAACATTAATGTTTAAAAGACGTTTAAAAGACATTTAAAACACATTTAGAACGTAACTTTTAAAAGCAAATGCCCGTCGGGATATTAATATGATATAAAAAATTTCTCATGCTAAGATATCAAATAATTATCTCAATACGATATCATATAGATGTCATAACCATAGATCGATAAATTCAAGTAGAGTTGTGATATCACCATAAGATTATATTGAGATTACGACTTGATATCAAACCATGAGAAACTTTTGATATCTAAATTACATTACATTAATATCAATTTTTGACAAAACACCACAACCTCGAGGTTGTGGTGTTTCGTTAAAAATTGATATCAATGTGATGTATTTTTTATATCAAAAGTTTCTTATGGTTTGATAACAAGTCGTAATCTCAATATGATCTCATGGTATGGCTTCGCGAAAACCGGAAATTTTTAAAAAACCGGTTTTCGGACTTTTTAAATTGTAAAACTGGATAATCGGCTTTACACGGGGTTTTTATTATAAAAGTAAATTTTTATTATAGCCGTATAAATCCAGGCCGAGTCTATTCGCGAAAAAGCTTTTGCCGTTATTCGCACGACCATCATGCAAATAAGCAAAAAAAAGCTTATTTGCATGACCATAGTTTAAATATGCAAAAAAAGCTTCATAACCTGAGGCAAAAAATTCTTAACAGTTGGTACAAAGTTATCTTATTATAAAAAGTATCATTGTTTAACTTTTTATTTAGTTTTCAGAACCTTAAAATACTAAATTATCAATATAATAATTATCAAAGTAATCCGAAAAAAAAAAAAAAAAAAGAACCAGCAAAGTTTTTATTATTATTATTTGATATTATTATTATGAATATTTTTGTATGATAGTATATCCCTAACCCTAACCTTCTAACCCATGCGTTTGTAGAATCTAGAAAATTTGCAGGTGTGAATCGGCTTGGTGCAACTTCTTTAACTAGCCCTACAGTAACAACAATTTTTTTTCATTAGGGCTTGCATTAATAGTCAGCGGATATCTTAAAGCTATTATGGTTTTCATTATAAAGAAATAATCTTAATACTGACTTAGTAAATAATTCAAATTTATTGATTTTTTGTTGATTAGTAATTCAAATTTATTGAATTAATAAAAACTGAAAAAAAGAAAATGGTCACTATGGTGATGCTATAATAATTCATTTTTAAAATACTATTTGAAAACTTTTCTAAAACATAAATAATTGTGTCCAAAACACAATTAAATAAAAAATAGTTGATTTTTTAAAAATTTTATTAGGTCAAAAAAAGTTTCTTTAGAGAAATAAGAAAAAAATCCTATTTTCATTTTTTTCGTTTTTTTTTACCGTACAAACTATAAATATAATAAAACAAAGTTTAAAAAGTTCGACTATTGTTGTCTAGACATTTTAATAAACATTTCAGTTAAGAAAAGATTCTCAAGAGCATTATCAGGCTTAGCCCGGTAAACTCGAATGTTCATTCGTTCGATGCACATTTTCAATGTGACTTTAACACCAAGAATATGTCTGGTCAGAGCTTCTTGGGCTGTAATACAGGCTAATGTTACCTCTTTCAGGTTTACTCAATTGGTTTCCTCCCTCATTTTAAACCATGCATGTGATCATGAACAGCTAATAAACTTAGCTATTTCTTTCAATGGTTACCTTTTTTCAGGGATTAGAAAGTAGCTCAGTAAGATATAAATCGCTTTGCTGTTCTATCTTGCAGAGTGAGAATGAGATGGTAGTTTAGTTTGTAGCTCCAGTTTGGGTAAAATGTTCTTATCCAAGTAATACCTTCAGGCATTACTTGGATAAGAATATTAAAGAATGTATAACCTGAAGAGAAAAATTAGTACACGATATGGATATATAATGCATACATATCATTGGTGATGAAAAAGAAAAGGTTTAATGAAACAAACCTACCTAATAGTCTATAACCATCTCTCCAAGTTTTAGGAGAGATGATTATAGACTATTAGCTAGTTTTGTAGGAGGAAGATGAGGCGTTTTATGGAGGAAATTATTTCTTTTAATTGTGAGTACTTATCTTTTATTTTCTTTATAAACTTAAAATCAGTTAGAGCAGGTGATTTTAATGGTGTTGGTGAATAGAAGTTACTATATATTTTTTTTAAAACAAGGTCTTAAATTTGAACATTACACCCATAATACGGAACATGTCTTTTAAATAGCTTAGTTCGTAAAATGCCTATTATTCCACCAGAACCATCATGAGCTCTACTTAAAACAAAATATAATAGTTTGTTGCATCATACATATTTATAAAATAAAATAATGTTAACTTTATGCACCAGAATTGACAGAGCAGGTGTTGCATATCATAAGGGGTATTTTATCGACAACATTATACTTTAACAACGTTTTCTTTATCACAGCTCAATTTCAAAGAGGTTTTGAATAGATAAGACGCTTTTTATTTTGTCGTAAGTTTTTGAGCTATTTTTTTTCTTATTTTGTTTTTTTCTCTTAACATTTTCTTTCCTTCTTATTATTTTTCTTCTTCTAAATACACATTAATATTCATTACCTTATACTATATTATAATATATTATATCGACTAAAGTCAATCGCTTCGAACTAACTATATAGTAACTAAATATATAGTGTTTTTATTTTTATTTTATTTTTATTGCTCGTATCTATATTTATATATAAATATACGACTATATTATAAATAAACTTTATTATTCAAAGATTTGATTTGCGCTTATATTATTAAAGTAACAAGTTTTTAACCTGTTTCTTGAAAACCTATTTTAATTATTTCATTTTTATTTTATTTTAAAAATTTTTCAACTTTCTTCGTAGTTTTTTATAGTTGCGTTGCACCTGATTCTTAATCTGTTTGTTGTTTTCGGATTAATTTTTGAACATAAAAATAGTTTGTGTGTGTGATTGTGACAAACATTAATAATATATATAATTATATATACGAAAAAACTGTTGTTATATATAAATACATATAA